TTCAGAGGGATGATGCATGAGTAAATATCACTTTGGAGCTAATTTGATAAAATGTATTGTTCCAAATTAACTTTAGATTCCAAAGTAAATTCAGAAATGGTTTTGAAAGGATTGTGAAGAATCACTTATTACCTATGTCAAGCAGTAGATTACATGCTCATATAGTTGGGATATTTGTCCCCAGCTAAACCTCATGTAGAATTGTAATCCCCAATGCTGGGGGGCAGAATCTGGTGGAGATGTGTGGATCATGGAGGTGGATCACTCATGGCTTGGTGCTGTCTTCATGGTACTGAATTCTCACAAGATCTGGTCATTAAAAAGTATATGGCATCTCCTCTCCCTCTCTCTCTCACCTCTCTCTCTCCCGCTTTCTCTCAATCTCTCTCTCTCTCTCTCTCTCAACCTTTCTCTCCTTTCTCTCAATCTCTTCTCTCCTGCTTTTGCCATCTAACGTGTTTGCTTCTGCCTCACTGTCTTCCACCATGACTGTTAGCTTCCTGAGACCTCCACAGAAGCCAAGAGATGTCAGCATCCTGCTTTCTATTAAACCTGCAGAACTGTGAGCCAATTAAGTCTCTTTTATTTATAAATTAGCCAGTCTCAGGTATTTCTTTATAGCAACACAAGAATGGCTTATACACATGCCTTATCCTAAATTGCCCAGATTTCAGACTCTTTTTAATGGGAGGTGTAATGCCATTGTTTGTAGTCATAATCTCTCTTGAAGAATGAAACACGAAAGCTTTCTGCCGGGTTTCTTAAAAGTGCATGCAGAGTAAACACTTCATTCTCTCTGAGAATGGGAGTGAGCAGCTTCTGAAACTTCATCTCCTGTTAATAGGCAATTAACTACTATTGGGAAAAGGGGGAAAGGTGAGGTTTGTCTGATTGTGTTTTGTTTAGTTTGGGTTTTTAGAGATTGAATAGTAAGAAGAGTGTGGGTGTGGAAATCCAAAAATGGGCACCTCAGGTGATAAATCTCAAGGTATAGAAGTAAAATGAAGACTGGAACACTGAATACTGATTCTTGAAAAAGTTCCCAAGAAGAGAGAGGTCCACCCAAAATGGTGGACCGGGGCGGACTGTGATGACAGCCTTTGTTCTAGAGCCCAGGGATTGTGTGGAAGTCGAATCCCCCACCTCTTTCAAGACTTCTAAGTCTGGTTTCAGGGAAACCTTTTGTTGCATAATAAGGAATTTAACTGGCCTTTCAACCTGGTTCCTGGAAGACAGAATCTATATCCTTGGAATTTCCCAAGTAACAGAAGTGTCTTTGATATTCGTGATCCCTTGGATCCAACTTGAGTTTATACTCATGAGATGAGATGATTCAGGATGGAAGCTGGTCAACAGAAAGACCTAACATGTAATTAGAGAGTTAAAGCTCTGAACCAGCCTGACTTCCAGAAAAGGGAGGGAGTTGGAGCTTGAGTTCAATAATGGGGCCAATGTTTAATCAATTATGTCTACGTAAGGAACAGGGAAGTTTGCTGAAACTTCCCACTTGGTGAAAACATTGATGTGCCAGGAAAGTGATGTAAGTAGACAGCAGGGATCTCCAGGGACTATAGGAGTTTAACCTGCTTGAACAATCAGCCTGTTTTATAGCCTCCCACTTTGCAGCCTGTTTTTTACAAACCTTCAATGGAATACGGTCACCTAGTCAGCTGGAATCAATTCCAGACAGATCCCAGCAACTTATAGATGAATCTGAGTGAACCTTCCTCATTACCATGCTAAAGTCTCTACACTGGGAGGAGCTACAGATTCATCACCATAACATGTAACCCACGTGCTGGCAGAATGACTCAGTCTGCACCACTGGTGCCCCTCCTCTATGTGCGATGATGCACCTTCTCCCCTCTCCATAACCCCATAAAAACCCACCTGTCACTTTTCCTTGGGGAGACACTGCTTTGGAGAATACTCCTGGTATTCTCCTACCTTGGGATAAGTAATAAAACTCCTGTAGATCAAAATCTACATTCTCCTGGAGAGTTGTTTGTTACCAGGCAAATGAACCAAGTTTTTTGTCTTCGTTTTTGTTTTCTTTTTTTTCAAGTAATAGTGACAAGCCCTTATTCTACAAGAAGAGAGCACAAAAGCTCTGTCTGAGACCCTCCCAGACACTGCCCTGTATGTCTCTTCATTCAGCTGTTCCTGAGTTGTATCTTCTACAATAAAACTGTAAATATAATGCTTTCCTGAATTCTGTGTCATTCTAGTGAATTTTTGAGCTTCACAGAGGTTGTGGGAACCTCAGGGATTTGCAGCCTCTGAGTATGAAGTGAGGACCATCTTGCTGGAGACTATACTGTTTAACTTACGGGGTCTGCACTAACTCCAGATGGTTATGATAATTGAATTGCGGTGTACCAGTTTGGGTTGAAACAGAATGCGACTTCCCCAGCTGCACCCTGGGCAGTGACTGCATGCAGCATCGAGAGGTCCTATCAACAGCAGCACAAAAGGCAATGATGAAGTTCTGTGCTCCGCAGATCACTCCTGCTGTAATCCCTCTACAATATTCCAAGACAGCAGTAAGGCCCAGAGCATTGAGGCTGAAAGCAAGAGCAGAGACTCTGGGATACAGTATGAAAGTCTCTTTCCCCTGTAGTTAGGCTAATCTGGAAAAACTCAAAAACCTGGCCTGATTACTGAGGTTTCTTTTATGGATATTTAGTATTCAGATAAGATTTTCACGGTATTCTTGAAATGAACCCAATTAAACACATAGTTCTCAGTCTTGACCACACATTAGAATTATCTGGTGGACTTTTGTAAACTAGCAATGCCTGGCCAGATAAACCCAACCATCATTTTTGAGGAATAAATTTAGCTGATTCTGCTGTGCCTGGCATTAAGAACCATTGGATAGAGTACAATGAGAGTCAAAGAGTTTTTGGAGCCTGGAGCTTCACTACCCTCCTGAACCTGCCTTTGTTCAAGGGAACAAGCATGCTAACTTTTTGTAGTCAACTTCTTCCTCAACTTGGGAAAGAGGAGCCTGCTGAAGGAGCTGGATATCCCCTAAAAGAAAAAAAAAAATGTGTTTTAGTCACCCAACCCATTAAGAGGAGCCCAGGCTCCATAGCCCAGCTACACCGTGCAAAATGGCCACTGGGTATATGGAAATGGAATTCAACCCAAGCATGGTATGGATGCTACAAACTCACTTCTCAACATTTCATACTGTATCTTTCATAGATGTTTCTCAAAAGATTATTATGTTTTAATTCCTAGGCACATGATCAAGGTCCATTTGAGATGAAGCCAACTTTTGTTAGATTGGTATTGCAAGGATTTTAGAAACATTGAAGAGGAGATGAACAGATGGAGAATGAGGCTGTCTGCACACAAAATTAAATATTTATTAGGTTGTTCACCATAATTGACTAAATTTTTCCATGTCACGACGTAGGTCACTCTGCTTGACCGAAAAGTCAATTTAAACAAAAGTGACTGAGCCCTGTGGTGGCTCACACCTGTAATCCCAACACTTTGGGAGGCCAAGGTGGGAGAACTGCATGTGCCCAGAAGTTCAAGACAGACTGGACAACATAGCAAGACTTTGTCTCTACAAATAAATTTTAAAATTAGCTAGGCATGGTGGTGTGTGACTGTGGTCCCAGCTACTTGGAAGGCTGAGGTGGGAGGATCACTTAGGCCTTGGAGGGCCAGGTTGCAGTAAGCCATGATCAGGCTACTTCACTCCAGCCTGGTGACAGAGCTAAACTCTCAAAAAAAAAAAAATTTTTTTTATTTAACTTGTCTCATTACTTTCTAACAGATAATGTATATAATTCATTTCAGTACATAGAGATATGTTTATTTAAAATTTAAACCTTTTAAAATATGATTATGGCTCTTATTATGATTATACCTGACACCTACTCAATCACTTCTCTATTGGTGGACATTTAGGAAATTTATACATTTTTGCTACTGCATGGAATCTACCCATGTACCCATAAGGGTAGGGCAGGGAGGGGAGTTTCATGTTATTCCTATATTTGCTTCGTGTTTTTATAATTTGGCAACCAAAATAACAATATTTAATAAACCATGAGCTTTTATGTTTTAAAATAAAGCACTTAATTCTTTATGATGGATTTTTATACAGCTACTTCAAATAATTTGTTTTAATATCTCTTGGCTTGAATCAGTATTGAGGTTTTTAATACTCAAATGTGGTTGGTCCCAACCCTGGGTCTACATTGCAATCACCTGGGGAAACTCGGCACTACCTGAGAAAGAGGAGGGAGATGGAGTGACTCTTTAAATCAGAATCCCTACAGGGGAGACAGGCTCTGGATATTCTGGCAAAAAGCTTTCCAAGTGGTGGTAACCTGCTGCTGGGGTTAAGGACAAATGCTCGAGAATGTACATCATTAAACTGTAGATGCTACATAATATGTTACTTCCTTTAAAAATAACCAATGGATAAGCTGCTTCACAAAGTGGTTAAGTGACAATAAGTACAGCTTAGCTTATTATGAAGTCAATATATTTTTTTAAGATTTACAGTTGAATCTGTTTGAACCCAAGGTGTGGTTGTAAAGATGTATTTATTTGGTGACAATTATGAATCCATATGTAAAAACCAATTTTATCATCATTTATAATAAAAGTCACTTAGATTTATTATTTTGGGGTTGGAATTTGGTATCTTTTGGCTATGAAGAGTCTGTTTTCTCAGTCTTAAGTTCTCTGTTTTAACTTTAATGCTGATTAGTTGTGTCTGAATTCCAAAGAGAGGAGAGTATAATGAGGCACATTGGACCCCTCTTCCCATCCTGGCTTAAACTCCCTTTTCAGGTTTACTTTGGAATATTCATGGCCAAGAGGGGATCCATCAGTCAGTTGAGGGGCTTAGAATTTTATTTTTGGTTTACAGTATTATCAATGCAAGATGTTAATTAGGGGAAACTAAAGGCAAGGGTGAGAGGGAGTTTATGGAACTTCCAAACTTCCCGATCAATTTTTTTGTAAATCAAAGACACGAAGTCTATTACTTAAAATACATAAATAATGACTAAGTAAATAAACATGTAAAGTCGGGTAGAGTTTTAATGTTCTTGAACTTAATTTGTTTTATTTCTCATTAATTAATAGCAGCCCAAATATAGCTCATTTTTAGCATATTAAGCTGATCTCAATATAGTTCATATTTACTTTTAATAGTCAGAATAAGACATTTTAGCAAAGGTGTTGTAATTTTAGAACATTTGACCTACCTTTAAGTTCTCAGAGGTGGATATTTAGACTATGACCATTCTCCTTTATGTAGAAAATAAAAATTATAGCAGATAGAATATTAATAATTCAGTTCATGAAGACAAGAAAAAATAGTGAGAGATAAAATAATTCGGCATTTACTTTCTAAGCAATTCTTGATCAGCTGAGGCATGTGTTTTGTGTCAAGCCAAAAGTAAGTAAAGGATATATGATCACATTCATCTTACACTTGCTAAAAGAAGAATTGCCATTGACCCAAAAATTCCCTAGTAATTTATTTTTATCTCTTGGTCTAAGAGGGAGCACAATGATCCAATCATCGATTAGAATCTCCTTGGTTAGTTTTATTTTTAAGTCATTACATTACAATACTGTTGCCACAAGCAGTGCCATAAAATCCAGAGCATGCTTGGCCCTTTATGCACTTTATCTTACTGAGTTGTCACAACCCCTCTGCCAGGTAAATATTATTATCTCATTTATATACTTTTACTGAGACTCAGAGCAGTTAAAACCTTGCCCAAAGCCACATGACTAATAAGTGGCAGTCAGGGTACATCTACAGATTAAACCTAGGGATTGAACTCTTATAATTTAAGGAACTCTATTCCTTCTGGTACTCAACCTTGCTCATAAACCAGCTTTGTTTATCAGTTTAAACCTTTAACTTCGTAATTGATTTGGGAAGGCAGGGTTAATAAGTAGGACCTCCACAATAAAAGATTTGGAAGTAAACAGAGTAAATTCAGAACAAAGTGAGCTGTTTAATTACACAAACACTTGTCATGTTGCATAAATAAAATCTGCTAAAATTAGCAGGATCCTTAAATAAAAATAAAAATTAAATTCTATTTTACCTTATAAAAAGTTTTCAGTTATGTGGGTAAATGCTCTACAGCACTCTCGAGGTTAAACGGATATTCTCTTCTCTAAAGTAGCATTATGGGTTGGGCATGGTGGCTCACGCCTATAATCCCAGGACTTTGGGAGACCAAGGTGGATGGATTACTTGATGTCAGGAGTTCGAGACGAGCCTGACCAAATGGTGAAAAGCTGTCTCTACTAAAAATACAAAAAAAAAAATTATCTGGCCATGGTGGTGGGCACCTGTAATCTCAGCTACTCCAGAGACTGAGGCAGGAGATTCACTTGAACACAGGATGTGGAGGTTGCAGTGAGCCGAGATTGTGCCACTGCACTCCAGCCTGGGCAACAAAGCTAGATTCCATCTCAAAAATAATAAATAAATAAATAAATACATACATACATACATACATACATACATACATAAATATAAATAAATAAAGTAGCAATATGACCCTTGCTTCTACACATTTTCTTTAAATATTCATAAGGTAGAGGAAAATGGCATTTGCATCCCAATCTTCTTGCTGTCTATACAATGGCCAATTGTTCCTATGGTTGAATACGGTCCTTCAGCAGACACCTCTCTTACAGTCACTGTAATTTAGGCCTCTTCACCTTTGAGGGGAGAGCTATACAAAAGAATCATCATGTCTCCCTGATGTTTAATCAGGGCTCAGCATGCTAAGGTCCTTTTATGAAAGCTCCCTGGCAGGAAATCAAAGTTCCTTTCTTCAAAAACAATAAAACATAAAACAGAGGAATCCATCTGTCAATCAAGATAGATTTCTCTTTAAAAAAAATTTCAGAGAATAAAGAGCTTTCACACTAATTAATAGCCATTAAATCTCCTACCAATTTAAAGCTCGAGCAAAGTCAAGAATTATCCAGCTAATTCAAATCCAGAAGGTACTTTTTCATCACTCATCTGGATTGACAAAAGAAAGTATTTCCCCAAAAAAGACCAGGATAATTAATTCCAATTTGCACTTCATATTTGCAAGCACAACCTCAGTGTGGCAGCCCTTACAAATTTCCCTGGAGTATGATATTATAATCAATTATTCAGAACTAGATCCAAGTCCATAAACATTTATTGCTTCCACATCATGCCATGTTAGGTCTTGGAAATGCAGAAATGATTAATTCAAACCCTTGCTTTGGAGCTGTATACAGGTGATTAGAATTCTGCATCCTAGATGGAGTTTCCCAATTCTATATTCTGTTGCACAAAGTGATGAAAGTCAGACTACACCACAGGTTCCACATGTGCCTCAATTCCCTCTATATCATGCCTCCTGAGTGATTATACGGCCCATGGCTGCATGTTTGTCAAGCCAGGCTTTTACATCTTTGGATAGTTCTTTAATAAAATCATTTTGATATTTGCCAGTATAATTGGTGATAACAATTATCGGCCTGCAATTTATTTGGGGAAGCTCTTTGAGGCCTGAAGCACAACAGGGAAGAAATCTCACGGTGGTCAAATGATGACTTTCTCCAAATAGCTTTGAATCAAACACACAGAGCACAGGACTGAAAGGAAGCTTGACAATCTAAAAGCATATTTAATTATGCCCCCTCTTTAGGCCTTTTTTTTCTCTTTCACCTGCAAAAATACAAATGTCACGTATGTCCCTCCTCCCTCACCCTCAAAACACACACACAAGAACTACAGAATAGTAATTATCAAACAGGCAACCTACTCAAACAACAGTAACTGTACATATTGCTATGGATGCTGGCCATTTTCCTCCAGTGACAGACCTTCTTTGATCCGAATAACACCAGCAAACCAAGAAGCAAATGAGCACACTGGACAAAAGACCTAAAACTTTGGCTAACGAAATTAATTTGAACGATGGTCTAGAGTCTTAAAAGGCCCCATAATAGAAAGTCTACATTCCATACCTGCACATGTTGATGGCCATCTTAAACAAATCAGTTGAAACAGGACATTTCCGGGCTCTGTCCACCCAAATCAGTTCCCTGGCGTAATTCATGCGTATAAGAAAGCTGAGCGGCTCACAAGAAAACTTGTAAAATAGCCTGTGATCTTTCAGGGGAAGGCCACAGTTAGCTCACCCTAGGGTAAATGGAGGAAAAGCACACTCTAGCAAACGTCCTCTATGCAAACAGCTTTGAAGTTCAGATAACTGTTTTTCTAAAACTTTTATTATAGTCATTGTGGTGTAATGGCAGTAAAACAAATGATGATAAAATGATTTCAATATAATGAGAAACTACTTTTGGAGCATATTTCTGTTACCTTAATACAAACATCATTGCTACTAATTATGAGTTGGGAAAGATACACATTGTTGTGGTAACCCGTGAAGAGCAAGAGTTCTTTATACTGCCTGTGTACATGTTCTTTGCCTCCTGCAGTCACCACCAGCCCTATTTGCTCCCATTCACAAACTGTGAATGACAACGTGACCCCAAGTGATCTCCCACTACTTCTCTCCACTAATCCCATCAGGACCAGTCCTACTAGGCTCCCAATCACCTGCCTGTATCCTGCCCACTACATTCACTCAGCATTCATCCTACAAACATCTACTGAGCACCTACTTCAGTGCTTCAGACATACAACAAGACTGCTGACCTAAGGCACATATGCAGCCTGTTTCTACATGCTTACCCTAAAAATATTCTCCCCATGCCACCTGAAGGGGAAGGTCTCTGCTAGTAGAATAGGTGGAAAAAAGAACAATGTGGGTTTCCAAACATGCAAACCTAATATAGCACACATTGTGTGGTTCAGAGAACGGAGAGAAGAGAGAAACAAGGGGGAATCTGTGGAAGGCTTAAGAGAAACAACATTCTGTGGGGGTCTTGGAGAAGATGGTCACTGTTCTATGGCTGACAGCACCCCAGGCTGAGGAGGAAGAATTTCCAAGTGTCTCTTAGGAGTGTGGGAAAGTGGAGGAGAAAACAAAGCTGGGGCTCAGGTTTGAGAGGCACCTGGGGTCAGGGCATGAAGGCTTTGTTGCCTACCCAAGAATAAATTCCAAATTCAATTGAGGAAGTAAAGTAGTTGCCCACAGGTGGGTAGTCTGATCAGAGGTGTGAGTTAGAAAGATGATTTTAAAGTGAAACTCTAATCTTATTAAGAGATAAAACAGAAATGCACTAAATTAGACATAGGAGACTTGATAAAAGCACATGTTTAAGAATATTAAAATCTCATTATTTCCTAATAATATGTAAATTACCAAAATTACTAGAGGCATTAGAAAATCTGTAACCACCACTGAAAACATTTTGCAGGTGATTTCATTTTTAGAAACTTTTTTGAATATGTCAAACATGCATAAAAGCAAAACAATGCACAAGGAACCAGCCCAAATACTCAAGAATTTCATAATACTCCCACTTCCCACAGATCCTCCCTCCATGCTGTTCCTGAGGCTCTTTTTAAGCAAATCCTAGACATTCTATAATTTTGTCAGCAAATATTTGGGACATTTAAAAATATTTTCTAAGAACCACCATTCCAAACCCAGCTCACAGGTGAATTCTTTCAAATATTTTGTCTCTGGAGCACTGAAAAAGATGGAATGCTTTAGAAATCAAGAATCTAGCATAAACTGATGCCCACACCTGACCCCCCAAAAGACAGAAAAACAAAAACCTAAAGACAAATTTTTATATGAATGTAAATCTGAAATCCTAATTATAAAATCAGTGTCTCATTTTTTGCAGCAAGGGAGATGAAACTGGAGGCCATTATCTTAAGTGAAATAACTCAGAAACAGAAAGTCAAATATTGCATGTTCACACTGTAAGTAGGAGCTAAATAATATGTACATACGCACACAGACTGTGGAATAACAGACATTAGAAACTTGGAAGGGTGGAAAGATGGGAGGGTGTAAGGAGAGAAATTACTTAACTGGTACAAAGTATACTATTCAAGTGATGGTTACACTAAAAGCTACTACTCAGCAAAACATCTATGTAACAAAACTACACTTGTGTTATTCAAAAAAAGTCATGTAATAATACAAAACATTATAATAGGAGGATGTGTTTAAAAACGTTCAAGTTAGTGCCAATATAAGGCATTCTAAATTTAACCCCTAATATAACTAAGTCAAAAAATTTTTAAAAATATGATGAGATGATTAAAAAGTCATTAACTATTTCAATGCTGATTCCTAATTTAAAATGTCTAAATAGCAATAGTGGGCATTTAAATTGGATAGTATAATACTTGGAGCATTCCATTTAAATCAAGAAATGAGAGAAGGATAAAATGTAAACACTTGGGAATATATTGTATAAGAGCTTATTATACGAAGGGCAGCATAACATTTCCACAAAAGGACAGAAAAGAAGGCTTGAATAAACAGAGACACAAATGTTGCTATATGGTAAAAAATGATATTGCAAAGAACCTATTTCTCAAATTCATATAAATATCATTTCCATTCATAGTTTCACTAGAAATTGTACTGGAGTTCTAATAAATAAGTCTAAATTTCATAAGGAGAAGTGAAAATAGCCAGAACATTTTTAAGATGTGCATTACTAGTTATTGAAAATTTCCCTGAATGTTATAGTGTATGCTACTTACAAGGAATGGTCAGAACAACAAAACAGACTAGATACGTATAAACAGTCAAAATTATACACTGGATCCTTTATTCTCATCAAAAATAACCTAAGAAACATTAAAACTTACAAATGAAAAATCCAATCATAAACATAGTAGGCATAAATGTAGGTAAATATTTCAATAATTGGAAGTGAGGAAAGTCTTACTTAACAAGTGAAAAACCATAAAAGAAAAGACTAAGAGGTTTGATTTGGGGAAAAATCCAGATAGATATGAAGCAGACAGGTTATCTGAAGCAAAACTATTTGGCATGTCTTTCAGAGATGGAGTTACTATTATTAATACATATTAAGAACTATCTAAAATAAGATAATAAAGTAGAAGTACCTCCCAGATTAGGCAAATATTATAAACAAGCAAATCACAATCAAGAACATACAAATAAATAATACAATTAGCAATTATAATTAGTGGAGATTAGCATAACAATACGATGGCATTCAATTTTTCTCCCATCAAAGTGGGAGAAAAGGCTTTTATTTGTTTATTTATTTATAAATAAATATTTGTTTTATAACAAGCCTCAATATTGACTAGAAATCCAAGAAGGGGCACTCTCAAACATTCCCATTTCACATAAATCAATATTTTAAAATAAATTTGTAAATACATACCAAAAAGTTTTAAAATGTAAATACAATTTGACCATAAAATATATTCTGACAAAATGTATCCTAAAATGTTGTTATGAATATAAGTAAAAATGTAGCCACAACCTATCACTTTCATATTAGGTTATGAGAAAAACATTAGAAGAAACATATGTAAAAATGAACAAAGGAAACTTGTTCTGTTCTATACAATTAATTTCTCTTCAGATTGTAAAAAAATGTTACTGAGGTAGACATGTAACAAGGAAAAAAGTTCACAAAATATTAATAAGATGAATTAGAAAAAAGTGAGCCCATGTTTTGTGAAATATGATGTGTACTTACTGATGTGTACTACTGTTCATAATATTATAAATTTGGAAGTATATCTAAAAATTAGCAAAGGCATTAGCTTTCTGGGGTTGGCATAATTACAGATTATTTGAATTTGATTTTGTTTAAACCTGTATCAAAATTTTCCAAATTGAATATCCATATGCTATTTGTGAAGAAAAGCTTGAAAAGTTCACAACAAATTAATGATATAAAATACTATTGTTTTAGACATGGATAGCCATGCTTATTAAACCTGAGGGGGCTGTGATCAATGCTTAGGAGGAAGGAGACTGGAGGGAGGCCCCCTGGTGGTGGGGGCTAAGATTAGGGGTGCCTGGGCAGCAAAGCACCAGGAATCAATGCCAAAGATTCTTCAACACTCCAATCAAATAGAGTGAGAGCCCTTTGAATTTTCTTTTTGGTTGCAGGGTGCTGAGGGTGAGGAGCGTAGACTTTAAGATTTCCTGTCTGGGCAAGCAGGTGGCAGGTGTTTCAGCTGATCCAGCAAGATCTCATCTCTTTTCCAGTCCTCCTTTTCCCATTGTGCTCCCTGCACACTTCTTCAAAAGTGATGTCATGGCCTCCTTTCTCATAGTGTCATCCTTTAAACCTCAGGCCATAAGACAGCTGTGTCCTCTGAACTCCAGCAGAATTCATTCCAGCATCATCTGGTACTTGATATTCATTCTCCCTTGAGGCACGTCTTATAATGTTATTTTTATTGTTATTTAATTTTTTGTATATTAGTGTATCTGTCAGATGTGGCTAGCAGTAGCAGGGAAGAACAAAATCAAGAAAGAAAACTTCAAATAAGGCCTTGCCAGGAATAAAATACAATTCACGGCAGGTTTCCCGGTCGGCTGCATTCACCCCGCATTGCCACTGTTTCTGCTCAGCTCTGCTTTTCTAATTGGCCCCCAGACCAACTTCTGTGCTGAAACCTCTGGACATTCGTTTGCATTTCATTTTGTCGAGTGCCTTAGTGCTTCAGTTGCCTTGGTTTTGGTGTCCTAGAATCTCCTCAATATCTAATCTCAGTAATTCCCTCAATAATTTTTGGGGAAATCTGTCATTTGCCATGTCCATGTTGGCAATGAAATTGATACTTAATAAGAATTCCAACACATCTTTAATATAAACACACACGAACACACAATCTTTTTGTCCCTAACTAGACTATAAATTCTTTGAAGCAATGGATTATATTTGATGATGATGATAATGATGATGATGAACTTAACAAAAATAACACCCCAGGCAATGTTATTTATGAGTTCATAATACATGCTGTGATCTTCACACACTGCTACCAATCCTGACACACCTTCAAAATAAGTATTACCATTCTGCCATCAAAGATAGGGAAGAGACGTTCAAAGAGGTTTAAGAGGTAGATTGAGTGTTGATGCTTGGTTTTGAAGCAAATGTCCATCTGATTTTCAGTGCTGCCACACTTATATCCTATTCTTAGATATTCTTATATCCTATTCTTATACATTCTTATATCCTATCCTAACTCAGCACCTCTTTTCAGCCCTGTGGCCCATGCCATCCCTTCAAGTGTTCTATCCCCTAGCCCCATACATATGAAGTTCTAGGCTAAGCCTTTTCCATACAAACTCTCAGCTAATTCCAACAGGAATTCAACAGACAGCTTACTGAGTTTAGAATTATTTATTACATTTACTTCCCCCAAACACAATGGAAACAGGAGGGCTATCTAATATAATTGAACCAAAGCTTTCTCTGTGTGTGTGTGTGTGTGTGTGTGTGTGTGTGTGTGTGTGTGTTTTAGTTATAATGTAATAGTAGCTAATGGTTTGAAATAAATAAATAAGCAATGTGTTGTTAAGCACCAGATACATTTCAAAACCTGTTTGACAGAAAATTGCAATGGTTCTATTAAATACTCATAGTCAGTTTTGTTTGTTTGTTTGTTTGCAAAAATCCTAGTGGTATGAACAAAGTCAAGGAAACCAGTTGCAGCAGGTAAAATACAGAGAAAAAATTAACAGCATTTCATTAGTAAAATGAAATAATACAGCTCTCTATTAGCAAGTCCTCATTTGCCTGAAGCACCTTCTTTTGACTGAATTTAAAATAATTTCCAATAATATCAAAGAAAAGAGACGCATGCTACACTTGCAAATAAGGCATTAATTAAAATGGTTTCCCTTTAAGCTTCATTACTAACTGCTAAACAGAGCATATAAAATATCATTTATAAATAGAAAAATCCAGAACACAGGGTAATAGGGAAATAAATGGCCTTGTATTTCTTTTGTACGTGATAAAAAGCAGATGATGGAGTACCTGATCTGAGAAATCCAAAACGTTGCCACAGATTTACACTTGTGTTTACTCTGCCCATATAACAGAGAGAGATCCCAAATGGCCAATATCATAAGTGAATTCAAGCCTGAGTCAGAGGACTGCAGTTCTTTAAATCAATTCACTGGAAAACTAGTCCTTGACCTATAAAGAAACATTCCAAATACAACAAATGGATGAGCCAGCTTAAATCCTTTCTGGAATAAGATGGGGAATATATAGATGAGAAAATAGCACATGAATGAATATGAATACATAAATCCACTTTCAAAAATATTTCACAGAGCTGCTTCTTAAAAATGTCAAATGGTGACCAAAGTACATTTCAGCATGAAAGAACTATTTCTGCTCCACTCGGGACAGAGATCCCTTGTATTTTCTGAGCATGGCATATGGATTCGGATGACAAAGATAATAAACCTTCCTGTAAAAAGTTACTCCCCCATGAACAAGCCATGGTATTCCTCTGTATTAAACTCATCAGTCTGCCACTTTTGTCTAAAACGTGTGAAAAGAGAAAACCACGCCCATGTCTCCTGAAAACTACTAGTCATAGAAATGACTTTCCCCTCCTAAAAGCTCACAATGATTCCTGCAGTGACCAACGCTCTCAGTTTTGTCCCTGTCAAGTACAGCTTGGAGGGGGGTCAGGAAAAATATGTTTTCTAAAAGAGCTGCATGAAGCCAGCTCTGTGAAGTCAAAGACAAACTGTATCTATGTGCTGGATGGTAAACCAGTATATGCATAGTATGAATAGTTAATATTTCAAGTACGTGACTATTTGAGTTTTTCAAACTGCCCTCCTCTTACAATAGTTACGTTGCATATTATTGCCATAATCAGAGGGTTTTACCCCCGGGGTTTTTTTGCAAAGGCTTTTTACCTACTCTCAAGATAATTTGTACAAACACTTCTCTTATTTTGAAGGGGACAAGAATATTTTTATTCATTTATTCATTCATTTGTTCATCTATCCATCCATCTAGTCATTTAGTTCATCTATTTGAAACATATTTTGAGCAGCTATTTTGTGTATAAGACACATGTAGCGGCTGGAGAGAAAAGGCAGATAAAACATGCTCATGTATAACTATAATCAAAGGAGAAGGCTATTATGCACCAAGAGATGTGTAAATTGTTTGGGGAGAGCCGAGGAAGGAGAGATGAATTCCAAATAAGGGACTTGAAGTGGGGCTCTTTATAGAAAGTGGCCTCTGAATTGGTTCTCGAATAAGTTAAACAATTTAAGTACACTTAATACTTTAATTTCAATCTAAGCTGGTTAAAATCAGACAACATGTAATCAAGCTTCTCCATTCATACAGATATATGTTTATAATCTCTGACTAGTTATTTATATTTTGGGCCATGGTATTGTCTAATTTGAAGAGAATTATAAGATAAAAATAAAAGATTTTACAGTTGGATAAAACTGGGCCAAAATTTTGGTCCCTCCATTTAATACCCATGTGGTCCTAGTTCCACTTCTTAACATCAGTGTATTTACAATTTCATCATTAATTAATGGAGATAATAATAGTGCCTATTTCATGACATTTTTTGTAAAAATTAAGTTTGAAAATGTATTCAAACATTGGCTAACACCAGCTGCCACCTAGCAGAAAGGCAGTACAATTATTACGCACTACTCATTGGCTATCTTCATGGAACTCAAGAGATACCCAAGAAAAGATGTGCCTCGAATACAAATCAAGGCCTGTAATTGGCAATGCCTCCCTTCTACTAGAGTTCGTGCTCCTAGCCACCTTCACTATTTATTTTTTCTGTCTCTGACACCTAAATAGTACACTACATCTCTTCGATGGCAGTCCCTTGGGTTCATTATTCTATTTCAGTTTCACCTGCTTTTCGAAGATGACTGTCTAGCTCTTCCTGATGCTACACAAATCCCCCCAGTGCCAATGCCTTTTATGTCACATAGCCTATAATTTTAACTTGGATGATCCCAAAGCTACACTGCAAATTCATGAAAACTCATACTCAGTTGCTTCTGTATCATACAGAAGATATGATAGCAAGCAGATATCCAGAAACTTCACTTTATTTATACTATTTTTTATGTTTCTTGATTCATTGATTAAAATTCAAGTTATATGGTTATATAACCAAAATGTAGTAAACTGTGCAAATATTAGATACCCAATAAATACTTAGTGAGGAGTAAAGGCTGTCTCCCGGAAACAGCACTTTGTACTACGGGCCAGGTTGGTAAGGAATAAACCTGCACTGTCCACCATGGTCCCCAATAGCCACTATTGGCGAAAAGGCCTTCAAAACATGGCTAGTCCGAATTGAGATGTGCTCTAAGTACAAAGTATGCACGAGAGTTTGCGTATGTAGCATACCACCAAAAAGAGAATTTAAAATACTTCATTAATTTTTATGTTGATTACATGTTGAAATGGTAATAATTTAGATATGTTAAGTGAGTTCATTAAAATTATTTATCTACTTCTTTTTACTTTTTTCATATGGTTACACATGGGGCTTATATTATATTTCTATGTATCTCTCATCTTCACCAAGAGACATGGGCCTGTACCAAAAGCAGAGGAATAAATAAGCATTTACTGAAACCTCAAAGCTTCCCTGATGTCCAGGCTGTCCAGAGGACAGAACAATTATCACCATTATCATACTAATTTTCTGTCTCCTCAGCAGGTAGAAGTAATAAACCTGCATTCTCATCTAGGAGGCTCTCAGGGATCTCACAGAGATGTGCTAGATAAACTCCAGGTATCCTCCATGTCTCAGCAGGAAGCTAACTCAGTATTCTCTCCTGAATCATTCACTGGAGTGATAAACCAACACTCCATATTTAATGATGCCAAATAGCTCCTTATTACTCATGGATTCAAGAAACTTCTATAGCTGAGCACCAAGGATATTTTCAAACATTTGATGCCTTGTGTTTTGGCAAAACAAAACAAAACAAAACAAAACAAAAAAACTAAGAAGTGTCTTGAGGTGAGCTGACTTTTAACAATTTCAGGAGAAACTTAAAGAAATAAGGTCCTAATTGCTCAACACCCACCTCATCTCCTTTTGGGCCACTCAGGAAAACCCTGTATTTTTCTATAATTGTGTCATGATGAAGAATCCAGCCTCTCTAAGCCAGCTGACCAACCACGTGCAGAGCACACGCTTCTATATTCAATTCTGAATATCAAGCACAATCTAACCTGTAACAAGCACTTGAGGGTCTGAGGATGGGAAAGCAAATAGCCTCAAGTCTGATCAATGCTTAAAATATTAAAAAGACCTTTTTTTTAGGGAGTAGCAGTACAGCACACATCCCAGTGTTGCCACAAAAACCATACATTTAATATCTAATTTCCAAAGAGAACAGTCCCTTAATTAGAAGGAAACTGTTTTAATAAGTCATAAATTATCCCAATGCAAGCCATTTCTCCACATGATCTTTGATAAAAACAAAACTGGAGCCTTCATAGGATACAACACTAATTAATGAATCATAAATAAACAGCAGCTAGTATTTGTGTCGTTAGTTTAAAAGTACTTTCATATATTATTTGAATCATCAGATAATCTATAACTCACATAAGGGAGGCACTGTTTTCTGTGTTTTACAGACGAGGAAAACGAGTTTATACCCAGTAAATGACCAAAGCAAGAATGGAATCATGCAATTCAAATCTCTTTTTTTTTTTTTTTTTTTTTTTGCTTTCTGTTTTTAAAGACAGGCTGTCACTGTGTTGTCCAGACTGGAGTATGGTGACATGATCACAGCTCACTGCATCCCTGAACTCCTGAGTTTCAGAGATCCTCTTGCTTCAGTCTCCTGAGTAGCTAGAACTACAGGCGCACACCCCCATGCCCAGCTGATTTTTAAAAATTTTTTGCAGAAACAGAGTCTCACAGTGTCGCCCAGGCTGGTCTCAAACTCCCAGTCTCAACCAGTCCTCCTGCCTCGGCCTCCCAAAGTGCTGGGATTACAGGTGTGAGCCATTGCACCCAGCCAATTCAAGTCTCCTAAGAGCAAATTGAGTATTTTTGAATTGTACCCATCAGGTGCCCTACTGAAATCTACTTAAGTGCTGAGATTTCAGTATTTGAAAGACCTACTATAATCTATTTTTAAAATTATAAAAGAATATGTGGGCATGGTCCTTGGAGTTGTGAGTGCTGGATACAAATATGAAGTTACATGAAGAGTAGTGTGAAAAAAAATTGAAGAAATTTTAAGTGACTTTTTATTTTATTTTTTAATTATAAAGGTAATATATGTTCATTGTAAAAATATAAACTATATTTAATTTTCCATAATTTCACAGCCAGAGAAAACCATCAGGAATACGTTAATAATTACTGCCGTGCATGCAGAGGTGGTGGTCGATATATTTAGTAGCCAATGTGGAATGCCAGAAGCAGAGGACAGTCCTTACAGTTGCCTGCCTTAGAGAGTGTGTATAGCTGCACCGCTTGATACAAGTGCCACAACCACTCTGGATGTATGCCATGTTTTTAATGGAACCATACAATTTTACAGATTTTCAACCTCCTTTTTAAAAGCTGCAATATATTTTAAACATCTTTTAAAGTATGTTTCAATTTTTCTATATACATAAAGTCTGCACTGGAGTAAAAGTGTGGTCTCCCTTCTGGAAAGAAAAGGCTGTGATTCACAGTGCCTTTTGTTATTTATCAGACATTCCACATGAATTCACTGACCATCTCTACTTCAAAAGTGCTGGCTGGGTGCAATGGCTCATGCCTGTAATCCCAGCACTTTAGGAGGCTGAGGTGGGCAGATTACCCGAGGCCAGGAGTTCGAGACCAGCCTGGCCAACATGATGAAACCCCGTCTCTACCAAAAATACCAAAATTAGCTGGGCGTGATGGTGCGTGCTTGTAATCCCAGCTACTTGGGAGGCTGAGGCAGGAGAATCACTTGAACCTGGGAGGCGGAGGTTGCAGTGAGCCAAGATCAAACCATTGCACTCCACCCCGGACAGCAGAGTGAGACTGTCACAAAAAAAAAAAAAAAAAAAAAAAAAAAAGTCCTGACTGAGAGTATGATGCTGGGTAAGAATGAGTAAGAAAAGCCATGGTTCTGCCCTTAAGAACTTAAAAAGACAGTAATTGCACTTGGCTCTGCATGAGGACACTGGTCAATGGGACGCCTGGGCTCATTATTCCAAACGTGGTGAGGAGAAGTGCAAGTTTCACTGCTCTGCTCTTTGAAGCTCCATTATAGCTTCTGCTAAATAACCTTTCTTGACCAAGCCCTTGGCTACTCTATCAATGCGCATTGAATAAATTCAATCATAAAACTTATTAAAAGTGGTGCCAGCCTCTTCATTGTTTTACACATATAATTTGACTTTTTTTTCCCAATGGTCCCTTCAGAAAGTTCCTACAATCATCTCCCTTTAAAGATTTGGAAATTAAGACTAGGGGACATTAATTAGCTTGCCTAAGTTTACACAACAGATTTATTTGACTCCAAGGGCAGGCTCTTAACACCACAATCTACCATTTTTAGAATATTGACCAGAGAAAGACAGTTACAAGACAATAAGTTAAACAAGCATGGCCTTGAAGACACCTGGATGATCTGATCCCTGCCCACCTTTTATCTTGTCTCTCCAGTTTCCTGTGTGCTTCAGCCCCCTGGTTCTTCCAGATGCATGAGTGAGCCAAGCTCTCCTTCCACACAAAGGCCTTGTCAATTGAGATCCCTGCTACCTACAAGGGTTGTCTCCCCATTCTTAGCATGACAACAGATCTCAACCTTAATATCTCACCATAAGTGTCATTCACCAAAAGGAATTTATCTGGTCACTTATTCTGGGATATTCTCTCTTATAACACTCTGCTCCTGCTCCCCCACCAGAACATGAAAGAATTAACCAGTTTTAAAATAATCAACACAAAATAATATTCTATATAGGCTGGTCATGGTGGCTTATGTCTGTAATCCCAGTACTTTGGGAAGCCACGGCAAGAGAATCCCTTGAACCCAGGAGTTTGAGACCAGCCTGGGAAACATAAGGAGACCTCAGCTCTACAAAAAATTTAAAAATCAGTCAGGTTTGGTGGTACACACCTGTGGTCCCAGCTACTCAGGAGGCTGAGGCAGGAGGATCGCTTCAGCCCAGGAGTTTCAGGCTACAGTGAGCTATGACTGCACCTCTGAACTCCAGCCTGAGCAACAGAGAAAGACTGCCTTTAATCATCATCATCACGACCTATATGAAAAAACATACTTGTGTTCACCCAAATACATTCACAGATACATACATCCCCATCCAAAGCCTAAAATAAAACACAAAAAGTAACAGAAAAAACATGTGAAAAGTAAGGAAAAAGAAAAAGAAGTATCTGGAAAGCATTAACCTGATATTTCTAACAGTGATTGTTTTTTTCGGGTGAACACAATTTTGGAGACTTTTTTTTATCCTTCTCCTTGCCGCACTTTCTAATCTTTGGTAATTAACATTTATTATTCTCATAGTACATTTCAAAAGCATAATGGCAATTCTAAAATAAGCAATAACAATATTTTTTATAAGAAAACATTCTTTTACTTTGAACAGATGCTGTTCTTGTTTAGGTTCTTTCTATGTTAGGAATCCAAAGTAATTCAGAGATTAACTGCATTACCTTTGCCCTTCATATAATTTGGGTTTTTTGCTGTTGTTGTTGGTTTGGGGGGTGGGGGGTGTGTGTGTGTGTGTGGTAAAGGGGAAAGGTTGGAGGTGGAAGGAATAGTTTCAACAATAATAACAGTAAAAAATATGCAGTGAAGGAAAAGTGTTCTTCCTGATAGTCTCATTAAAAAAAAAAAAAAAAAAAAAAAAAATCCAAGTCTGTGCTAGAGTGTGAAGACACACACAAGCCCACACCCCAGTCAAAGTGCAGCAAATGGGACTTGGCTTGCTGTACCTTTCTTGGGCTTAAACCAAAAGCGAGTGACACTGTCAAGAGGGCAATTCCATTACGGCTGCAAAAATCTCTCTCAGTCAATAGCTGATGAAAGACGAGACCTTCCTGGGACACTTCCGGGAAATGGAGGGAAGGGAAAGGCTGGTTCTTGGTGATTTCCTAGGCTTTGCACCATAGCAGGCTTTCACTGTGTAGTAGCATTTTACCTGATAATCCCACTTTAAAAATCTGTTATCCGCTCAACAATAAATAAATTCTCCACTTGGCTAATTGGGACATTTTGCAAATATTTGGCCAATTGCCAAAATACCTCTGAGGCTTTGTTAATAAAGACACAGCAATAAGGCTCACCAACACAAGGCATTCAGCATGAACCAAATTGATGAGAAATAAACGGCTATCATAACACTGGCAACCAAATAAAAAAGACAAAAAAAAATCTGCTGGCACAAATTTACATGTATTCTAAGGATAAATTCCACTGAATAACCTGGCTTTACCTACAGGAGAAATTTTATGGAAAACTTCTAAAGTTGTAAGAAAGAGGCCTGGCACAGTGGCTCACGCCTGCAATCAAAGAGCTTTAGGAGGCTGAGGCAGGAGGATGATTGAGGCTAGGAGTTCAAGATTCGCCTGGGCAACATTGCAAGATTCTTACTCTATAAAATAAAAATTAGCTGGGCATGGTGGCATGCATCTGTAGTCCCAGCTACTCAGGAGATAGACATAGGTGGAAGGGTTACTTGAGCCCAGGAGTTTGAGGATGCAGTGAGCTATGACTGCACCACTGCACTCCAGCCTGCGTAACAAATCGAGACACTATCTCTAGAAAATGGAAAAGTAAAAAAGAAGTTTATCAAAATAATTTTGTCCCTTAGTTCTATCTGAAGTATAATGAAGAAGGCTTCCTTGACAAACAGGCAGCACTGGAGATTTCCATTTTGGTCTAAGAATTGTTATCGCTAAGGTTAAAAAATATGCAAGGCACAATATTTTGCGGCTTCCCATAGATTATGTTTAATGCATGTTGTTTAATTTAGTTTATAAATCAGTGTTGATCCAATTTTCTGACATACTTTTACTTTGAACATTATTGAGTACCCAGGACTCTAGTCTTCAAGGGCTCAGTTTGATGTTCCCACTGTTAAAGGGATTTGGGGGGTTGCTACCTTCCTCCAAATACCTTCCTGCCTTCAGTACTTATTTCTCTTTACTCTTCTCTGCAAGCTAGAGTCGAGAAACATAAAAAGGGTATTTCACTTGGTGCCTAGTAGGTGGACAGCAAGAAACAGATTACGGGATGGGAAAGAGTAGGTGACTCACAGTCACTGATTCTGCAGGATTCTAGGGTAAATTTTGACCTTAAAAATGCTAATTGAGAAAACCCTCTGGCTGAAAAAATTATTCATTTACTCCATTATATCTGAATATGAGTTCAGATGTTTTTAAAATTTCTGAGTAGGGGCTTGTTTAGTGTACAACAGTGCAAAATCACTCCTTCAATATAACTTTTAGAGCAAGGGAAAGAACAGATACAATTTCAGCCCATGGAATGACATGAGGACAGACCTTGTAAAATTTCTTATAAGAAATAAGAGGAAGATGATCCTGAACATGGACTCCAAAGGCATCAAGCATATTTTCCTTAACAGTGTTATTATCTATTTCCCATTTTGATTACAAGTTGAATGTCTTATATTTAAATATGATTACTCTGTAAGAAACTGAAAGTGCTTTGTACAGAGAAATACTGTCTTCCTTCCTGAAGACAGAAACATCTGCCTTGGTGTCATGAGGAT